CCTTGCTTCCCATCACAAATCTCCCCCAAGAAATCCAAAACCTGGCCAGGCATCAGCATTTCCACCTTCCTTCTCTCCCGTTGGCTGCAGTAGTGCGAGGCTGACACCTGCTGTTGAAACCAACTGCTTGCTCTCTCCAGCCAGCCCACTCTTGCAGGGTCTGCTCAGAAGGGGACTCAGAAAGATATCCCTCACACCTCCCCATTCCTAGCCCCATCGGAGCATGATTGGCTCCCTGCATGTGTGTCCAGCATATGGCATCACATCGGTTGTGAGCACTGCAGTTGCATCCTTGGGGCTGATCTACTGGGAGGGCTGAGAGAGTGTGTGCTTGTGTGAAGCAGGGGAAGAAAGATGGCAGAGTGTGGAACTAATGGCTTTTGAACCTCGCTGCCTTTAGGAGGACGTGTGAAAACCTGGAAACGTCGTTGGTTCATTCTGACTGATAACTGCCTGTACTACTTCGAATATACTACAGTAAGGGCCCAGTCGGGAAACTGCATCCTGAGTGGTTACAAACCTTTGAGGGGAACTGGGAGGTACAGAGGATATGGGACAATTCTTCCTTTCAACCCTACACTCCCAGACTGAGTTCAGACCTCATTTCTCTCCCATACCAGCTCTAGTCCTGATAGTGATGGAGGCTGACACTGAAGCTATTGCCATGATTTCTTATTAACTAAGAATTAATTAATTTCTTATTAACTATTTATTGTATAAATGCAGGGGGGTCTCCTCAGGCACACATGGCCCTTGCACCCCCAAAACCACATGTATCTGGGAAAACCGAGAGACTGTAAATCATGGCATAGGTGTGGGGAGCATGTTGGGTGTTAATTTGTGTTTTCTTGTTTTCAGGACAAAGAGCCTCTGGGCATTATCCCCCTGGAGAACCTATCAGTCCGGAAGGTAGATGATCCCAAAAAGCCTGTAAGCCTCCACTGCTTGATACTTTGACCAAAACAGTCTCTCAGGGGTGTCAGTGCGAAGAGAGAGCACTCACTGGCCTCTCCCCTCTTGCTCTCACTCTGCAGACTTCTCACCTCTCGCCCTACACTGCCTGGGAAGATATGACTCACACACACACACGCACGCACACGCATGCACACATGCACACACAAAACCCTGTCACAGGCCACCAAGTAATATTTCTATTCTTAATGCTCTGCTTTAGTGCTGGGGAGAGGCACTGGGGCAGTAGTTCAAGGAAAAGCATCACATTTTTGTCTTCAAGGTACAACCTGTGCCAAAAATTGCTTCCCATTCCCCCTGCCTGTACTACTGAGGCTGCTGGGGAGCACTCACCAGCTCTAGGGTGGTAGATAGGAGGGGAACAGCGATTTCTCAAGCCTATTCTTTCCATGCTTCTCAGAGGGAAGATACTATTCCAAACTGTCCTGTCCTCCCTCTAAACATGATTGTATTTTAGTGGGGATGAACTGGTGGTGTGAGATCAGAGCCAGTTCCAGTCTTGTGCAGTTCCTCACTCGTTTTGCTCTCTCCCTTGACTGGCTGCACTGTGCGTATTTGCATGTGTGTGTAGGGGGACAGAGATGAGTGCACAAAACTGACTTTTACACATGCTGCACCAGGACATACAGGTTTGATTTCCCTCCCCATGACTCTCCATAGTGAGTTGCAGTATGTGTAGACCAGAGAGTGCTGTGGTGTTAGGAAACTTCCCTGGGAAGTGGCACTCTCTCTCTGTGCATTTGCTATGGATACTCACTCCTCCAATGTGGCATGGCTCCAGAAGACTTGCCTTTCTGTCTGTGTGCTGGCAGGCAGAAGAGAGGATGTTGCATTATGTGAAAGAGGAAAGGTTCTTCATATGTTGAGCAGGAGGATCAATCCTACAAGGTGTTCTCTGATAACTGTTGATGCTCCACCTCTCCATAAAGCCTGTTTTAGTGTCTAGTCCTTCACAGGAGGGGGTGTGTTTATCTAAGAGGGGTAGGTTGGAGATCCAACTTATAGGGAGATTCTTGGGGTGAGGAAGGTAAGATTGTGTTGTGTTTCAAAGGCAGAGGGCTCCCCTTCCCTTTGGAAGCTCTCTGATCCTGTCACTCATGGCTGGAGGCAGCATTGCTTCCTTGCCTGCCCCTCTTCTCCCTGCCTTATTGCTCCATTTTATTTCCATCTTGACAGAATTGCTTTGAGCTCTTCAATCCCAACTGTAAAGGGCAGAAGATCAAAGCCTGCAAAACAGATGGGGATGGGAAGGTGGTTGAGGGCAAGCATCAATCCTACAAGATCTCAGCAGCCACGCCAGCAGAACGTGATGAGTGGATTGAGGCAATACGGTGAGAAGACCAGAACTTGGAGGCCTGAGGATTTCTTTGTCCAGCCCTTGGGCAAATGGTCACACAGTTTATTTGGCCACCAGGGAATGGAGCCTGGAAAAGGAGTGGAAAGAAGTGTTCACAGCCTAGCAGCTGTGGTATCCCTTAACTCCAAGGGGTTCCAAGACCCCTTCTGGAGAATCTGCAGCCACAGCTAAATTCCCTGCTATGGGTCTACAGATCTCCAGTTCTGCTTTCTTGTGAGCGGGATACTGTGCAGGATCCTGCCTCTGCAGTTCTCCAGCACTAAACCTCTTGCTCTTGCTCTCATTTCTTCCTATTTCCAGGACCAGCATCACACAGGATCCTTTCTATGATCTCGTCTCAGCCCGTAAGAAAAAGATTGCCAACAAAAACTGAGCCCTGACCTGCAGGAACATGCAGTTGAGCAGCTTCCCTCCCATGCTGGGCTCTACCAGTGAAGAAATTTGGGAGTATTGGCACCCTCTGCCTCCCACTTGGCAGGGGGATGATTGACAGAACAACTTGCCAGATCTGCTTCTTCCCTTTCCAAACAGAAGGCAGATGCACAGGGTGCACTCCACTGAGGATTGTCAGAGCTGTGGGCATGGCTTCTCCCACGTTCTAACATGCACTTGACTGCAAGATGGCATTTGGATTCTCCCATACAGCTGCCAGGCATGTAGGACAAGATCTGAAGAGAGACCAGAATGTCTCCAGAATGTCTCCGTCCCCCAGCCATTCCCTCCAGACGCCAAACCAGGCCTGGATGTTGTTCTGTGAGGAACTATGCAGATGCTTTCTAGGCAGCCAAGCATGGTTTAGTTAGTTGCAGAATAAAAAAGCGCCAGTGGTTTCTCTTCTATGAACAGATGTGCTCTGAGGGTGGAGAAGGGATACTGACATTTAAGAACCACAGTGTGAAACTGGAGGCCAAAGAAAGATAATAAAACTTCTATTCAGAAGAAACTTCCACCTATGGCCACAATGAGGGCTGTAATTCTGGGAGGTCCCTGCTCTGTAGCTGAGGAAGTGAAAGATATTGTAGTGAGCAATAAAGAGAAACTGGATGTAGAGCGTCTGTAGGGCCAGAGAAGCAGTTCTGTGTCTTTGTCTCTATGTTTTGGTGCTCAGGAGCCAGCACAGGTCTCCCTAGGGAAGAACACAAAACACTAGCTCTCCTCCTGGATCCTGGCTCCCAAGCAAAGATTGTTTCCTTGCACCACTTCAGAAGGCTGAGCTCAGTGTCTGGAAGACCTGCAGAAAGAAGTGATGAAGGCTTGGAGGTTGCACAGCACCACACGCGCGCGCACACGCACACACACACACACACGCACACGCACACACACACACACAGAGACACGCCATCTTCATGTACTGGTTTCACCTGGAGTCTTTTTTTTTAATTTTTTCTCTTGTTTAAAGAAAGGAATAAAAGTACTCCAAACAAACCCAAACCTCAGGGTAGGATGATTTTTAAGTGACAAAAGCAGAGGATATAAGATAAGTGTGTCATGTTCCTGTGCCTAGCAAAGCTGCCTAGCACCACTGCAGCTCTGCACTGCACCCTGATGCAGGCAGGCAGAAGGCATGGCGCAAGCAGGCAGCTTCAGGTGGTGTGGGAGGGGGACGAAGTTAATGAGCAGGTGGAAAAGTGCAGGGAACTCATAGTCTGCAAAGGGGAACAGTCTGGGGGCAAGTACTAGAGAACTGCTGGAGACAATTGCATGTGCAGGATCGGGTTAAAGGACTTAATAAACCATTGCTATCTCATCTGATGTCTTTCAGACCTCTCCTAGTAACTCCCGGTGCTGTCTCACGCTCTGCTTTTTTACTTCCTGCAGGGGGCTCTATTTACCAGGAAATCTGCAGCAGGGCCAGCACAGCGCAATTACTCATTTTAGTTATTTTTGCCCAAGCCACCGGAATGTTGAATTAATTTCAAGAGGCAGGGATTGTATCTCAGAGTTGAAGCACGTGCTTACCCCAGAGAAGGAACGTGAAGGTTTTCTCCTGCTTGAGCCTGCAACTGTCTCCTGCATTGAATCCCCTTGTCACTGATGTGATAGGCAGTGAGTTTTCTGTCCACTGCTCTGGAGCACACGTGCTCACGTAGGCATGCACCCTTGCTTTGAGTTCAATGCAAGGAGGCATGATCATGTCCAGAGGTGGGGGGAGAAGTCAGGATCTGACCCTTCATCCAGGCAACTTCTCCAGTATATATGAGAAATATAAATGTGCGCTTGACCGGACTGGTAAAAGATGCCCCAAAGCCTAGGATCTGGGTGAGAAATGTCTATCCTAGTGCCTTACAGGCCCATGCTCAGGGTGCCAAAAGCCATCAAAATGTAACCGAAGTCTCTCTTCTACCCACAGTCTGGTCTGGGGGGAGGGAATCCAGGCTAAGCTCTTCTTAGTGTTTACCTGGATCATTCCTTTGAGAGCAGACTCTCCAGGCTCTTCCCAATCCCTTCTCAGTCAGAATCCTTGCAATTCTCTTCGGGCTTCCTATGTCCTTCTCTTCCATCCTTCCTCCAGCTACTCACACACTGTAAAGCAGAATTATTCCTAGCAGGGGGAGGGACAAAACAGTGCGAGGAGACAGGCAATTGTTCATTTCTATCCATCAAACTAACTGAAAGAGACAGGTAGAGATGGACCAGGTTTCCTCTCTCCTAGAAGCTGAGGTAGGGAAAGAGACAAGCATTTTGAGTTTCCATTTACTTTCCTTGGCTTCAGCACAGAAAATTCATCTCCAGACCTTTTGCTGCACCGCTTCTCAGTCTCCCCAGTACCGTGAACACAATGGCACCTGATGTTGCCCACCAACAATGCAACACATGCACTTTCTGAGTGCTGTCTCTGACCACACGACCACTGAATACAATGTGGGTGTGTGAGGAAGGAGCAAAATGATGAAAACTGTCCAGGGTGTCTCACGCTAGGTCTATAAAACTTGAACACACACTCATTATCAGTGTACTTTGACAGGCATGCTTGCAGCCCTCACAAACTTATGACAGGAATGATTCGCATAACTAGAATGGCACCACTAGGCAAAGTGTTCACAACCACATGTTCCCTTTGCTGAGGACAGCTGCAGTACCACATACACAAATGCAAGCACACACACACAGCCCTTCAGGTACTAAGTTTGATAGATTGCTCTCTGGTATGGATGTGTTCACCTTTCTCCTCACAGGCAGCATGGGTCACACTGACATACACACAGAAGACTGACACTTATTCCTTGCCCACCCAAGGACTCCGGCACACAGCCAGTAATTTGTTTTCATAATAAATGTCCATCTATTTTCATTAAAGGTCTAGGAAGAGAATGCCACAGATCTGTGGAATACACCACATCATTGCGTTCCCTTTCTCCCATCCCCCGTTAATCAGCTCCTTTTTTGGAAAGCTAATACATTTTAAAAAGGCTTACTTGAAATTGGTTGCAAGTGATAGGGCTGGAACAGCTGGGAGGATAGCCAGCAGCCTAACTCCATTCAGCTTAGGTGTCTAGCAAAAGGTAGAGAAAGACTTTGGGAAGTGGAGGGGAAGGACAGAGTAAGAGATGGACCAGACTGAATTCTGGGTTCAGAGCTGATCAAAGGGCATGAGTTGAACCTGTTTCTGTCCAAAAGGTGAATAGCAGCTCCCAGCAGCCCCCTACAAGGAAGTTCCTGAGCAAATGAAGGCCTATGGAAGGCAAGTCTCTCTGAGTGAGCTGACCAGTGGTGGTCAGCAGCAGGGTGAGAGTGCCCATTTGACACACCATCCATGCCTGGCAGGCCTGAAACTGCTCAACTATGTGTTGTACACCCTTTAGTGCAAGGGGAGAAGCAAGCAGCTCTCTTCTGCTAGCTCAAGAAGGGTTTTTGGAAAAGGAGTGGCAAACTTTCACCTCCCTCTATGACTGATGTGCTATGTGAGTCTCCACACCTCACCCCTCCACAGCAGTGGAAGGACTGTGACCAAGAGGGGTTGACAGCTTGTGCCTTCATCAAACCAGAGGAACAGAAGGCTATTACAAGGGCCTCAGAGGGATGGGAACCAGACTTCATACCCTCTGGGGTCAGTCCTTTATAAGGAGAGAAGCACAGCCTGGATGTATTTCAGCTGGTTTGAATTGTGCAGTCAGATTTTTGGGGGCTAAAGGAGCAGTTCCTCCCATTTCCCATCATTATGGTCAGTGGCTGAACAGCAACTAGTTACCAGAGAGTGGAGGACCTGTTGCTGTGCTTCTTCCCTCTTAAAATTTGCTTTAAATGTGTTTCATACAGAAAATGCAGAGCACACAGCTAAAGGGCAGGATGGCTCTCAAAGGCACCATGACCTCTCTGCTTGCCTTGCTGTGGCTTACTTCTCCTATCTGCAGCCTGACAGAGGGCCAGTCTAGGGGGCTGGACAAAGCCCAGGCAGACCAGGGCTGAGGGCTGCCCAGGGTTTCTAGGAGTACCACTGCTATCACATCTCCAGTGACTCTCCTTTAAGTGTCTGTGACAGGGACGTGCTGCAGTTTCATCTCACCATGCCATTTCCAATCCTGCTGCCTCACTGTGATGAAGATGAATGTGACCTGTCCCAGGCTATCGCACTCTTGGGTGTGTAAGCCTGCACACAGATGATATTTTGCTCCTGAAGACTGATGCTGTCAGGTTAACTGCAGGGAGGCACGTATGGTGGGGCAGAGGGGACGTCAGGGAAGGTGGAAGAGGCTGGGTCCTGTATGGAGTAGTCCTGCCCCATGGAGTCTATGCTTATGGGAAGAGAGCCCTGTACCTGGGCAGAGTTGGGGAAGGACTGTGGAGACTATGTTAAGGGACATTGTGAGGTGAGGCATTTAACAGTCCTCTCATCCTTCTGAGGGACTAGGCTGACCCTACAGGTGCCCACATGGGAGATATGTTCTGCTGCCGCTTTCCCTGTGGTGAGTAGAAGCAAAGTTCTTGGTATTGGCTGAAGAGGTGGTTGTTTGGAATGCAATTAATGTCTTATTATTTCTATGAATATTTATTGCTCAGTAACAGTGAAACTCTATCTGACTGCAATCATATTCACAGAGAAACTAGAGCTTCCTTTGTTTTACAGACCCTCTTCCTCAGTGGTATCACTGAGACAAAAGACCCAAAAGGTACAACCATCCCATTACACATGTGAAGCACAGGAACGAATGGAAAATTTTATTCCAACCTTTTTGGGGGAGAAAAAACTGGATACTTAAAATGGGTTGACTGGGAAGAGACACATTAAAATGGTTTGGTATATTAACAGACTTAACCCATGACGGAGTTTGAGCTTGTGGGGCTTTTTCATGCTCTCTCATTTATCTTCTTTTGCAACAGGGGAGAGGAAATTAAAGGGAGAGAATTATAAACTCCTATAGCTGTTTTGAAAAGTCAAGTAATAATCGGGGGGAGGGGGGTCAAGCTTGAAATTTACCCCTTCCTCCAACCTAGCATAAAGTGTAAGAAAGAAAGCTAGTATTTTATTTCTTCAAGAAATACTGCTTTTTGGACTTACTGCCATCCTTAGAGGTCTGATGCTTCCCAACTTTGTCTATATTTATGCACCTTTCCAGAACTCCCCCATTTTCTCCTTTTGCTTTCTCCCTGCCTTAATCCTTTCACCTCACATCTCTCTCTGGCTTTTCTTTCTCATAGTCCCCTTTTCCCCTCTGTATTTTCCCCTTTTCAGCTCAATTCCCTCCATAAATTTGCCACTGTCCTCTCACCTTCACCACATCTCCCTCTTCCTTTCTCCTAATAAGCAATACTGCCTTTCCTGCTCTCCCTGCTCCTCAGATAGATAGACTCCACTCTGGGAGCTCGCAGTCTGTCTTGGCAGAGCTCTGGGAAACCCCATATTATCAGTGGAAAATGAGTTGTTAAACCTGAGCCAATCTCTCCAGCTCCTGCTGATCACCTACAGCTTGGGTTTGTGCTGGAGGCTCTGCCAAC